CCCCCCCCCCCGCAATTGGTTTTCAAAATTAAGTCAAGCACTTCGTCAATATGGGTTTCGTCAGGCTCATGCAGACCACACCCTTTTTGTTTTTCGCAAAGGGGGAGATATGTTGGATGTTCTGGTCTATGTCGATGATATTCTTGTTGCAGGGAATAATGGCTCCGTATGCAGATCCGTCACACAGTATCTTGATGATTGTTTTAACCTCAAAGATCTTGGCCCTGTCTCTTATTTTTTGGGCATTGAATGTGCTCGCTCCAGGGAAGGAATGGTGTTGAATCAAAGAAAATATGCCTTGGATATCATTGAGGAAGCCGGCCTTATTGGGTGCAAACCCGTAGCTACCCCCATTCAACCGGGTCACAATCTCGCTTTGCCCACAAGTCCAGAGATCCGTGACCCTACAAAATACAGACGCATCGTTGGACGTTTATTATACCTTACCCTGACACGTCTGGATATTTGTTTCTCTGTTCATGTGTTATCTCAGTTTATGCAGGCTCCCCGTTTGGATCATCTCAATGCCGCTCACCGTGTTCTTCATTATCTTAAAGGACATCCGGGTCAAGGCATTCTCCTACGTAGTGACAGCAATCTGGCTCTCACCGCTTACTCCGACTCTGACTGGGCAAGTTGTCCCCTTACACGGAGATCCGTTACTGGCTACTTCATCCTCCTTGGGGGTTCGCCGATCTCATGGCGTTCCAAGAAACAAACAACCATGTCACGTTCATCGGCTGAAGCAGAATATCGAGCCATGGCAAACGCTTGTGCTGAGCTTCGTTGGATCCGCGGCCTTCTCGCAGCCCTATCCGTGCCGTGCGTCGCCATCCCTAAGCTCTACTGTGACAATAAATCTGCATTATTCATTGCTGCCAATCCAGAATTTCATGAACGCTCCAAACACATTGATATTGATTGCCATATTGTTCGTGAGTGTCTTCTCCGTTAGCAGGTCGTTACGGCTTACGTTCCTACTCGTCTTCAGATTGCTGACATCTTTACAAAGGCACTTCCTGGCCCACTCTTCCAATTTCTGCTATCCAAGTTGGGCATTATTGATCTCCATGCTCCAACTTGAGGGGGAGTATTGGAATATGTTTGTACATATCTCTTCTTAATTTGTTTCCTTGTAGAAGTAGGACTCCATATATGTTTCCTAATATGTTTTGGAAACTATTGTTGTATCTTGTATATATACACATGTAGATTGTATCAATAAATCAAGTCATTCAATTCTAAAATTCTACACGAACCCTAAGAGAACTCCAAGTGAATAAATATTTCCTTCGTTCCACAAAATCTTTCTCCTTTCTTTCTTTATCTGTATCAAAAAATATTTCTCATTTCCAATAAAAAATCATTTTTAACTTTACTAATTTTTATACTACCTATAACATCAGACTTTTTCACTATAAATATATCCATTACATCTTTTTTTACACATCACATTCAAGAGTATTTTCAGAAAATAAATATCAAAATACACTCCCTTTAATTTCTTTAAAAGTCAAAATTAGAAAGATTTTACGGGAGTAGGGAGTAAACTCCAATACTTTGTGAGTGGAGCGACTCTCTCCTTCCCATGGCGAAGAAGAAAGGGCGTCCAAAGAAGAACGATGAATCGGTGATAACAGAACAAAAAACACAATCAGGGAAGGCTATCGAGGAAGCAGGAAGCTCAGCTAAAACTCCAAAAGGAGGCGAAACACCGACGACTGATGCGAAGAAAGTGCCCGATTTTACTGAATCTGGATTGCCTGAAGAACCAGGAGATGAAATCAGAATTGAGCAACAAGCTAAACCTACCTATGCGAAAATTCTTACATCCACGGAGGTACAAACAAATCTCAGTTTCTATCAATTTGAAGAAGTAAATGGAAAAAGGATTGCTAGGTTTACTGACGAGGATGTGATTGAGGAAAAAGGACTCTGGGACAATGCGGTTATCTGCTACATCCTAGGAGCGAATCCACCTCTGGAAATCGTAAAAGGATTTATCGCCAGGATCTGGAAGGATTATACAGTGGATGATGTGAGTTTCCATAAAGAGGGCCAATATATTGTAATGTTTCAGAAACCTGAAGATAGAGATGAAATTGTGAAAAGGAAATACTACTATTTTGACAATAAACCGATGTTAGTACAGAGATGGAACCCTGGGAAACAGCTGAATATCCAGGAACTGAGTGATGTCCCAATCTGGGTCCAATTTCCTAACCTTGATATGAGGTATTGGAGTTTATCAGGCCTGGGAAAACTGGGAAGTATATTGGGTAAACCTATCAAAAGGGACAGAGCTACTGCAACCAGAGCAAAATGGAGTTATGCAAGGATACAAATTGAGGTGCAAGTTCAACA